TCTCTCTGTCTCTCTCTCTCTCTCTCTCTGTCTTTGTAGAGCTAGAATAACTCCAAATAGACAAATCTAGCATTATCTCATGTTGTGGCAAATCAGATACTAATTTTCAAAGTCCTGGTTTTTATAAGACTTTGAGTTTTCACTTGCTTTCCTGAAAAGGATTTTGACAGAAATAAGTTGAATTTAACATCGTAGGACTTGCATTTAATTTATAGGTACGGTGAGTGAATAAAGAGGGGCTGGTTCTGATTTGGGGCAGTCCCAGGAGAAAGGCCTGCTGCTCCCCGGGCTCACTGGCCAGTAGTGACAAACTTGACACTATAACCACAAGAGTGGCAAGGGAATAAGGGCCACAGAAAACTCTTACCATCTTCCAGCAGGCGTTGGGCCCAAATGGTCCAGCACCAGACCTTCTATTCTGGTGAGAATTTGGCCTCAAAACTGCCAGGACCAAGATTTTACCTTCTTCAACTAAGGGCAGTTACAAAGGGAGGAGCCAGCAGGGACCTGAGAAACCATCACCCCATGTCTTTGTTTTGTAAATGAGGAAACTGAGGACAAGAGAAGCTCAATTCCTTGTTCTATTCAGACAGTATCAATGCTGGAAACAACCTCAGTTCTGCTGAAATCACACCGTTGTTATGTCTTCCTGTAAGAGTGAGTCTCTCTTCCATGCATTTTACAGAGCAAAGCTTGGGATTAAATTCTTCCTTAACTATCAGCAACCTGCATCTTCCATCCGCTTTTCAGGGAATTGGGCACTTTCACCCAAAAGCAGAATAAAGCCAACTTAGAGCTCCTTTCAAATCAGGTAGAGTTCGGTTTGAATCTCACTTCCTGGCTGGAAGTTAACTCCAGGCAAGACACTTCACCTCTCTGAGCTTCATCTTTATAAAGCAGTTGATGATAACTACTTCATCATGTGGCTGGTTGGAGAAGGTAAGGTTTGTAAAGCATCTGGCCCAACGATGAATACAAAGTCATGCTCAATCAATGGCAGGTATTATTATGATTATTTACTTTGTGCTTTTCTACTGCGAGGAGGTGATGCAAAATTCAAACCATATTGCAATCAGTGTGTATCAGATACACCCACATCTTCGCCCTGCCCACTCTTCAACATGACACAACTAGTGAAACACAAGAGCAGAGCCTGTTAGACAGGCCCTTCTCCTTTGCAAATTATGACAATGGGTGGTTTGTGGCTGAGGGGATTTGGTCTAAAGTGTCATCGTTTGTGCACGATACTGCCCAGTTAGCTGTTCCAACTCTAGGTTGTGGCCAGGGCAAGCACTGACTTGAAAGAAACCAAGTCACAGAAAAGCTAGCGCGCCGCGGCCCTCGTGCCATGTGGAATTTGTGTTTGGTCTGTGAAAGTCAACAAGAACACGTTGCTATAGCAAACTTTAAAGTACAAACTCTACAGTGAACAGACATGAGCCTGGGCCATAAACTTTATACTCAGGGTGGTATTTAGCCTTCTAAGTTATACACTTGATTTTTGTGGAAAATTAAGAAATTTTGTAGCATGCACAAGACTCATCTTAACAGATTTTAAAAAGACAGCGAGATACCTGAATCCAGTAGTACTGTCTTTTGTGATAGGACGTGCTGGTCCAGTGTACAAGTCCATTTCTTTCAGAACAACTGAAAAGCATCTCCGCTAAAGCTGTTTACATTCCCTTCTCCACTGATCAGGCTGACCGAAACAAATTCATAAACTGAGACAACCTGAAAACTGGGAGGGGTGCAGGAAAAAGGAAGGATGGAAAGAAATATTATCGTACATAAAAGAACCAACGTTGTTTGGAGGCAAAATGCTGATGGGATACATCCAGCAACAATAGAATGAAAACGGATGGGATTTCCTTTAATGAATCACATCTAAATTGAATCTCTTATTTGCTGCTTTTGAGCGAAAGTTTATATTAACATTTGAAGGTGTTCTGTATGCTTTTGAGAAACCTTGAATTTTTATTCTCTAATCACACACAAAAAAAATAGATTTGAAGTAAAAGAGGTCTAACAATTAGGATACAGTTGGCCCAGGGCTGTCATAAATTATGATTGTCCAGCCTCCTTTCAAATGGGTTTGACATATAGAAATCCTGCTAAAATTTTAAGACACATGGGAGAAATAGTTGCAGAGAATTGTGTCCTTGTAGTCATGAAGATAGCCACAAAATTGTTGATGTACACACAGAGTTACACAAGAAAGATCATAGATTAATTGGGAACAAGAGTTGAAAGCTGCCTTATGGCAACTCAGGAAAGAATTCCAGGTAAGGAAGGACTATATTGTAGCTTTGTCTATATGCTTATCCTGTTTTGTTTGCATTCCCTTGGGCAATGCTCTACAGACCTATGTTACTTACACGGTGATGACTCTGTAAGAATTCCTCAACAGTGATTTATGGGGCTGACCACATTTTCCATAAACTCAAAATGACTACATCCAGCCATGTGCTCATGAACAAGAGTCACAGGTTCTGAATTTTTCCTTTAAAACAAAAACAAAAACAGAAATCACCTAATTACATTCTCAATTGCAGTCTCAATTCTTTCAAACGAATGTTGACCTCCCAGAAACCTGGTAATTCTTCCTCTTCTGTTCCTATCTGCCCCATCCACTCCTCCAGTTAACCCTCCCAGCCCTACAGAAGCAGACTAGGGGTCACCAACAGAGCCTCTGAGGCTGCTGAAAGGGCCGAGCTCCTACAGACCCCTTCACAGAGCACAGGGTTGAAGGAGGCCTGAGCCCAGAGCCACATCCTTCCCTGGGACGGGTGCCTACCTCCTCAGAGCTGTCCAAGCCTCAGGTCAGGGAAAACGGGAATGGAACGACAGCAGGAGACCTGAATGCTTTCTGTCTGCCACTAGCCCTCTTCCTCTTTCTGCCTGGAGTAGGTTCACAGTCCTATTTTTCCTTGGAGCCCACCAGGAAATCCTGGGCCAACATAGAAGAGAAAGTGCCAGAAGAAACCACTTAAATAGCAAACCAGCAACACATCTGATCCTTAAATTCAAATAGTTCACTAAGCATAAACCATCCCCCCACATACATGCTTCTCATATGTAGCCACTGCTATGCTCTTTCTAAAACATGAATCTCAAAATGCCATTCCAAGGCTTATAAAGATGTGGAAAAAGCATGGAACCCTTAGCTTGATTTAGAAAGGCCTCTCTTTCCATTTCATCTGCTACTTGCCCCAGGTTCCCGCATCACCCCTAATCACTCCGGCCTCCTAGAATTGCTCATCATTCCCTGAACATGCCAGTAGCTTTTGAGTCTCTTTGCCTTTGCATATTCTATTTTCTGCTTGGAATGCCTTTCCCATCATCTCTACCTAGTGAACGATCGTCTTGGCAGTGTTTTTCATTATCCGCATGATATTCTTGTAAACAAAATGTTGCCGTCCAGACCCACTGTAAAGGGGGCATTGCCAAAGCAGAGCGTATTCAGAGACTAAACAAAGTATGAAAATTAGAACCTGTGTCCCATTAGCATTTTCCACAATGGTCTCCAAGACTTCCTACACACCTGGGTCACTCTTTGAGGTCAGGTCAGAAGATCTGCTCACCTTTCAAGGACAAATGGTGGAAGGGATCAAGAATGTTTAATCTGAGAAAGACTTAAAGGCACCTGAGAGCTTTGAAACTTTCTCATCATGTTATGCATCCCATTTTGTAACCCTTTTTTAATCATTAAACTATATTCAAGGAATAATTTTTTCATGCTACTACATATCCTTGAATAATATCATCTTAATGGTCATGTCATAGTCTATTATCTGTGACATAACATTTCTGCCTGTCTCCTCTTTGGGGGCATTTCTTTCCATGTTTATCTTTATAAATGAAACTCTAATCAGTATCCTTGTTGCCAAATTAGTATGCACAGTCATGTATGTTTCCTTAGGATAAGAGTCCAGCTGCCTGCTACAACAAAGAGCATGCCAAAATTTTAAAGCTTTGATACATATTGTCAAATTGCCCTCCCGAAACACTGGTGGATTCACCCTATGTCAGCATCTATGAAAAGCCCATATCCCCAGATGTTCACCAGTATTATTAAACTTAGCTATTTGGTAGGTGCTAATTTAATTCGTATTTTTTGTCCCTGAGGTAGAACAATTTTCAAATATTTATTTTTTCTTTTGTCAATTACCAGTACATGCTTTTGGCCCATTTTTCTATTAGATATTTTAGCATTGATTTTTATATATTCACTTGCTAAACCCATCTTTATTCATTTATTAATCAAACATTTTGAGAACCTACTATGTGTCAGATTTTGTGCTATGCATTACCTTGCACTATGCATTTGGCTATACACATAGCCAAAGTTTTTCCTAGTTTTTCATTTACATTTTAATTTTTTTAAGTGTGTTGGAAGCTAGCTATAATTTTATAGCCAAACCTATAAATCTTTATAATTTCTGCCTTTGATGTCAAACTTAGAATGGCCTTCCCTACTCCAAGAGAACATAAATTTTCACAAAAATTTCCTTCTTCTACTTCTACCTCCTCAGTCTTAGTTTTTTGTGGTAATGTGAGTTGGCACCTTTTCTGTATCTTCTTGGGTGTTTTATTATAAATTTGAAGAAAGTGCTTTCAGGAGCAATCAGCCATATTAAATCAGAAGTCCTGGAACATTACCTTAAATTTTTTCAAGTGTGGAATGTGACTTGGATTTCCTCTGCGTCACACCAAAGGACAGACTAGAGCCACAGGTAGAAGTTACAGTGAAGCAGATTTCAGTTTAAAGAATTGAAGGATGAGAGTTTCAACAACAGAATGGCTGCCCCCAAGATGACTGAGCTCCCTATTATCAAACAGGGGTAAAACCAGTTAAACCCTGGATGTGGTTCCATAA